CATTAAAAGGGGTCTCCGGTTCTCTACACTCACCATACGAAACACATCAGCTTTAAGCTGCTATTTTATGCTGGTATTCTGTGCTTTCTTGTCTTTTGTCTTTCTTGTCTTTTCCCGGTCGAGCCGACTTATTCGTGATACAACCATACTACTAATATAGCTGCAGCATAGCTCTATCATGTATAAATGTAAATTTCATAATACACGAGCAACTGAAATTCGAATCACGTGATTCGATTCAATGGAATTATTAATTTCAACTTTGAATGCCGAATAAGGGAAATAAAAATATATAGAAGACATGTGAAGTCCGCAAAAGCAACTGGACAGCAAAGAGCGGTTGGCTAGCCGTGGCACAATCTTAGAATTGAGAAGAGGCCCAACCAGCTATATAGACTATAGAGACTTAACTATTTTAAAGTGGTGAAACGCGCCAATTCACACTTGAACAGAAACAAAAACCACTCCGAGAGGTGGCCCATGCTACAGAATAAATAAAATATTAATGTATTCTGGTAGCAGGCAATATATGCCTGTATGCTATTAATTTATCAAACACGTTATTAATTTTCGGTTCAGTACCTATTGTGATTATTATTTATTTGTGACGCTGCGTTATTCTATTCTCAAAAATCGTTTAAGAGTTAAGTAGCATTTTTGCGGAAGCTGAGAAATAAGGCATTGCTTCTGTCCTCTTTGTTTGCGATTTGCGCATAAATATATCTGTAAAATGCTGATGTTTCGTATGGAGAGTAAAAATAGCAGAATACCATTTTACTGATACTGAAGTACTCCATCTTAGACGTCAGGGACGACCACGAATAACTGCGTTTTGATTTTTAATCAATGATACCCATGGACACAGTATTCACTACCATCGTGTGTACTGTTTACTAGTCTTATACCACAAAAAAACATTTGCATCAAGCAATACGGACTTTAACAATTTTTTATTTAAATATAGCAATAACAACCTCGTAGTAGCGTCACCGTACAGTAACGGCGTATAGAGGATCAGTGGATCCCCATAATATAATTCTGTAGATATCGTAAGAGGCGACAGAAGAAATTGAGACAAGAGATAGGCAGTGGCAAATTCCGGTTAATAACTCAAAATAATAAAAAACTGCAATTGCCAACCTGCCAAGCGTGGTAACTGTGGCAAATATGAGGCAATCTATTGTAGAGGCCTATGTTTGGCAGTGGTCTTATGGTAGGCTGTTATGAATGAATGAATGAATGAATGAATACAATAAAAGTATAGGCAGTGATTATTTAAAAATTATTTCTTGATTATATTATTACGGAAGCACATAAACATTAATGACAAATTGAACGAAATACTCGTCATTCTGAGTTATACCAATTTGCTGCGGGAATTGGTGTTCCAGTTTTACGGTCAAATAAATTCAAATGGGGCGCTGTATACGCGTCAGGGTCGATTTGTTACAGCAAGTTTATTATCTAACAACAATAGAATTTGACTATACTTCATTGTAAGAGTTAATTATAGTAAAAAAATATATATAAGCAAAATTCATAGATTTGACTTCCTGCATGTCTTACAAGCTCACTCTATCGGATCGGCCACAGTAGGTGGCCGCCCGACACTTCGCTTACCGGTTCTTTTGCGGTAGTTTCCTCTATAATTTTAATCTATAAGATGTTATGTCCACTAAGAATAATTTAGAACTTTTTAATGTTCAGTACGACGACTCCGTGGCGCAGTGGCTAAGCAATGAGTTATTGCACTGGGGGCCGCGGATTCGAATCCCGCACGGAACAAGTATTTGTATGGCCTACAAATAATTGTTCCGGTTCTAGACGTTTGTCCTTGTACAATTTGTTTGTAAACTGCCTCCATGATAGAGGAGAAAATCCTGGTGTAAGGGTAACGTTTTTTTTTAAAAAAAAAAAGGGTCAAATCGAAAACGGAATAGGTACTTATTGGATCGCCTAGGTATGTGTATCTATCGTTTCGTCAACACTTAAGAAAATAGTAATAATATTTTTTGGTGCAAAATTATTCAGTTAGTAAGAGGGACGAGCAAAGGGGTCATGAGGTTTCAGGGGACGACATTTTGGGAATTAAAGCCTTATCTTTTTCAATAATGCCAGTAAATATAATTATTAGTTATCGAATATTTTTGATTGAAATATATTGAGCATCTTTCATTGAAAGTTCTAAAAACTGAAAATGGAGACAGTCTGCAAACACACACTTCGACAAAGATAGGGTAGTAGTATAAATATAAAGAATAAATTATTAAATCAGTCCGTAAATAAATAAGTTAACCCTTTGTACGTTTACTTCTTAAAATAATGTCTGGCCGAAATGGAGTAATTTTTTTCAGCATTTAAAGAAAACTAAATTCGATATGAACTGCATTTTCAACCGAAAACCACAACTGTAAGTGAAAAAATTGTGAAACAGTGTTTATATAAAAGTTTATATTTATTTTTATATGTATATAAATTTTTAAATGTAAGTATATTATGTATAATATACTTATTTTATCAAGATCATTACCGGTAGATACGAAGCAGTCACTGTAGAACTTTTTTCCCCGTCATTTTTTATTCGAGCTAAATGGCCAGCCCTTTGCCACTTAGCTTGCAGATGCATTGGGCTATAGAAGTTTCTTTGTGGTTACATTCTACTGTGGATATATTCATTACGTATTCTTCACGCGGAAACACTACAAGCATAGTTCTCTCCACAGTTCGCTAAGTGACCTTAACCTTCCTTATATACCCAACAGTGGAGCACTATGTCTCAGTATTCCGTATGTCATCATTGGGAGCACACACTGATGGTGCACTATTGTTTTCAAGTTTTGAGGAATATGTGATAAGCAGATGTGTTGTAATCTCTCAAAATGATGACCAGGCGAGTTGAATCAATCAATCGATTGATATTATGGTAAAAGTTGGACTTTTTAGTCGGACAAGTTACCCTTGCATACTGGTCATGTAGAAAGAATGAACGACGAAAGAGTGACAAAGCAAATCTATGTTTTAGAAGTGAACAGCAGAGTTGGGAAGGGACATCTTAGACGAAAGTTTATCGACCAAATTGGCGATATATTGAAGATGGGCCAGATCAAGAGTACCCTTAACCGAGGAGCATGTATGCCTAGGTATATGGATGTAAGGGAGGCGAGAGAGAGAAAGATGTGTCAGATGGTGCCAAATGGAAGTCCGTAGTCTCTGCCTACCCCTCTCCGTTTGTGTATGTTTATGTATGTTATGTAAACATACTACTTTAACAACTTCAAGACATGTGTTCCCAACAACTACCGGCATAGGTATATGATAAATGTTACAGTCTTGTTCATGTTTCCGTTGGGAGTTTCTGCTCTACATATCCGGAGTAACACCACCATGGAGGAGGAAATTGAAGAACTTCTGAAGAGATAGCAGTTTTCCTCCACTTTCAGCAGCTTTACTGTAATTCCATTCCATCTTCACTTGAGGTCTCGCCGTTAAGGTGCTGTAGAGCCATTCTATCTCTCTCAGGCTGGGATATCATTGGAATAGTGTCGGATGAAACTTGTCCTCGGAACATTATTTACACTTGCATGGGACTTCAAGAACATCCTACAGCTAAGTTTCATAGAACTTCTCAGTCTCATACAAAATCTCCATGACCCCAAAATGATGTTGATGCAGTCAGTTTTCAACTAAAGCAGGTAGCCCTTTTCAGCAAACAGATTTTTGACAAAGACTTTAAACCTTTGATTACATTCTATCACTTCTTCAATAAAAACTGTATTGAAGTTGAGTAAGTCTTACTACATGCATTTGGAGATATGTCTGGTCAGTTTCCTGTATATCTTAATCTTGTTAAAGACTGCAGTTTTATTTTACACCTACCATCCATGAGATTAAGATTGTAATCGGAGATTTAGTTCCAACTGCACCACATGGACAAGTTTTGACAAGCTTCTTTTATACCTACATTTACATACATTTACATACATAAAATAGAAGTAGGTAAAATTTTATATCAGACCAGATTAAATGCGAATTAGGAAATAGTAAATACACTGGAGCTCATGATGGCTATGATGCCAGAAAGTCACTAAACAATCTTTTATAAGAAAAAAAAATATAATGTTCAGAAGATATTGTTTTATTTCATTTGCTACAGGCAATAAGATTGAAGTGACCGCAGGTTTGTAGTTATTTATAAATATTGAAAAATCTATCACTGTAAAATATTTGTATTTCATTAATAATTGATATACTTAAATCTAAACCAAGGAATAATAAATTCACAAGATAACAATTTCCCTTGAGGAAAAAGCTTTTATGTGCATTACCTATCACATTAATATAATGTCCTCCAGTCAAAAAGATCAAAGTTCAGTTGTGGAGGCCAGCCTCAACGTAGACTAGCCATCTGCTTAGGGCAAAATTATAGTGTCTGAGTGTATGTGCAAACGCAGAAGTAATCTCTATTCCCCATTCTCATAATCCAATGGGACAGTAATCGGACATAGTCGGAGAAAAATCAGGCCGAGGACCAGGCCAAGATCAAGACGCATACATGTAGTTCAAGGCACAGGGGTGATACACCTCCAACTTCCTGACCCCGGGCTAACTGCTACTGAGAATTTCCTGACACATAAATGCAATATCTAATTTTGGCCTGACTTGGGATTATAACCTGCAACCTCATTGTCATCAATCTAATTCAATAATAATATTTCTAGTATATAAAGCTTTTTATTTTTATGTACTGTCCAATTCATTCCACTTTACAATAAAGTACCTTCATAAAAATACCAAAGGTTATAAAAAGTTTTAAACAGAAATCACAGCATGTACACCTTTAAAATAAATTTACTCAAAATGTAATTTCTTGTTGTTTGGTTAAATTAGTAATAGAACAATATTTTGAATTCTTTGTTTTGTATAAACAATTTAAGATAATGTATTTTATTAATATGCTGTTTGTTTCCCAGATAAAATAAAAAATATAATCTTTCACTTACCTGAGTTTTTGAACTGTCATTCTTAACAGTAGCACCATCCAAATCACCCATCCTTGGTTCAGTATCACTTTCAACCTCAAATATTACTTTGTACAGATCCAGTCCTTCTGGAACGTTAGACTCTATATTTGCTTCTGGTCTTATAGATAGCTCTTGATTAATTAATTGGCTTCGACTTATTTTTAGCGAACCCTGAAGAGATTCTGATATAGCCTGAGTAAAGGGATTAATAAGATTACTTTGAGATTTAAATTCAAACATAGTACAATAACATGTAAAACAATATAAAGAATAAATAATATTTAATTGGAATACATGAAAAATTATTGTAATCATGTTCTTTAATTATGTAATAAAAGCTTATGTTAAAAATTAATTATTTTCTGAAGAATATAAAAAATTACAAAATAAAAAATGTTCGTCTTGCTTTTAAAAAAACAAACCTTTAATATTTAATATAATCCAAGCATCACAAAGTTTGCATAAATGACATTGAACAAAACGTGAAAACTATGTGTTTTAAGTTCAATGCGTGGGAAAAAAGATTCTTACGTCGCTTAATATGTCTTCCAAATCGCAACATAAATTTGTAGTAAGCACAGGTGAAGGACTCGGTGTACGAGATTGTTCCGAATAGAACTCTATATCAACCGGATCCAATACCCCATTTGTTCGACATTCATTAAACTCCATCACTGTTTGCTGTTGGGAAACATCAAAATTACAATACAATATAAGCTCAGATTTAGCATGTTACTGAGAAATCATAAAATCTGAGCATAAAAAATAAAAACAGCCAAATCTCTACTTCTTACCCATTGAAAATTAAGTTCTCTTACGAGAACAAGACATTTTAGCGATGCAGTTGTAGCAAAAAAATAAAAGTTATTTACGAATAAATCTAAATTGCAGTAAGATACATAGATACACTTTTATTATATTTACCGATATTTGTCGATCGGATGGATTGTGCAAGGAAATGTCAAAATCAAAGGAACGTCAAAATCATAAATTTTTCCGTTTCACGGTTTTACGTTTTTCTCAAGTAAACAGTTTTTTTTAAATAAAAGTTTTAGGAAGAGAATAGAATTAATGACTCTATATGGACTGACTATATCTTAACAAACGTTTGTGCCGATTTGATGCGCTGCTAATTAGTGTACCGGGAAATAAATTTGTCATAATTTGCAAATGGCTATTGTTTTGCTCAAAACATCTAAGAGTATTTTAAAATTTTAAACGAGCAAAGAGTGTGTATTGTGTGGTTCAGTTATGTTTCATAATGTAATTTAATAACAAGTATTTTTAGTAACAATGATAATGCAAAATTCGTTACCAGATGGGAAGTGAGATAACATTCCATAGGTAAGCTTATATTCAAAAATTAATTTTTTTTAATAATATAGACTGTCACTTATCTTATTAAATGTAATTATTACTACACGTTTGGCTTTAAATTACCTATTTTTGATAAGCAATAAAATTCAATAGGGTTGTCCAGTTCCTTGTTGATAATACATATCGATGTTTTTTCTACCTATATCTGTTTAAAATAATGAAAGTCGCTGACAACAGATAATAATCAAATATTTACTAATTTACAAGTTTTCAACTGACTCTATACAAAAACTGTGACTAAAAAGAATAAAACTAGTAAATTGGCGTCCAAAAAAAATTGATTATGACGTCAACGATTTGTGGAATGGTATTCCTTAATATTGAAAAATACTAATTATTCCTATAGATATTGTTATAATAGGCATAATATTTTAGCAGCTTATTAATTTTCTCTTATTATGGGGACTAAAAGAACGATTAACAATAAATTCTTTACAAAATTAAATTATTTTTTAATTTTGTAATTACCTACTCCGGTTTTTCCTAATTATTGAACCTTTTTAAACCTCTCGAATAAACCATACATACTCAATGGTGAAACTTAGTAATAACCCGTTCTATAGTTACGAAGAAAAAACGTAGATAGACTAACGCAGCGTCAATTTTGGTATAAAGCTTATGTTGGATACATAAGTATGTATTGATACATTTATTTATTGTATGGCATAATATTAAAATAATACATAAATATATTGGTAGACTTGGGTACAGAATTTTATCGATATATTTTGTCACACTGTCCATCTCTATTATTAGTTCAGTATACGCTCACTTCTGCAAATCAGCGCCAAAATGGTGAACATCAAATCGCCTAATTATGTCACGGTGTTTAACCATTTTATTTTAAATCTATTAAGTCCAGCGTACTTAATAGATTTAAAATAGAATAGAACAATTTTATTTAACATAGACTATAAATAATTCTTATTTGTAAGTCATTTACAACAGAGCAGTGGTAGCTCAGGGCCTAAGCGCTCTCGGAAAATCTCACATTACGCGAGCAACCCGGGTTTGATCCCCGCCAGCACCAATAAAATTGTTATTTGCATTTTTTAGTGCTGATTTACCACGTGCTCGGTAATATTTAAAACTTAGGGATCATCACTCAAGTATGCGGATACTCGCAATTCTGTAGCCAAATGAATTCTGAAATCACCTGAGCTTTGTAATTCAAAGAGTATTAGCTACTACCATAATAATTTATTATTTTAAATTTTATGATAGCTAAGTTATTTATGAATATTTAAACTATTAAATAGCTTATATATATACCTACATCTTAAAACTAGCCTGATAGTGTTTTGTGAAGACTGTTATATAGCTAGTTTTTTGTTAATTATAGGTACTTACTATAACTATGATTAAAATAAAAAAATACAAAAGTATATGATACATACTAAATGTACCTTTTTAGTTCAACACTACTAAGTTATTAATGATAGTTGTCCCAACCCACCAAAAAGTTAGATAAAAAAACAAATTTATAAATGCTAATTTATAACATATCATTTACTATGTTTTGTCCTGCTAACTCGAGTTGCGTAACTGGAGTTTAATTCAAGTTGTATGAATTTCAACTTGAGTTAATTCAAGTCTTAATTTTTCCGAGTTAGCACATCGAGAGGGTGCAACATCGCTCATTAAAAACATCGTAGCTTATGAACAATATATAGATTTTTCGCGGTGTTTTTTTTTTATCACTATTTAAACATATATATCGAATAAATAATCATTTTGAACAGAAATTAAACAAAGAAGTATAATAATCAAACATTATATTTATGTTATTATAGGAAGTTTTACTATTTAGTTTTACACATTCAATTTTATGGAATAACTAGCTGTGCCCGCGGCGTAGCTCGCGTATAGAGGTTTTACATAAAGAATTTGTCGTTTAGGTAAGAGAATATTAAACGATTTAATTCATTTCTGTATCAATAAGTGGTAACTAAATAAATCATTATCATCAAAGTTCTAAGTCGTTTATGATAGAGCTTCTGTGTAAACGACGTTAGAAGTAGGCTTAGCCGGGGTGTACACAAAAAGGTTACGGGGGCTACTAACGCGGGAAAAAGCAACATAGAGTTGGCCATGTGCAAAACAGTCAGTACTGAGGTACACTCCTACAACGCGTAAAGTTTGACCTTGCGCTTTATTTACGGTCATCGCATAACACACGCTCACTGTAACTGGGAACTGAACGCGCTTAAAACTGAAAGGAAAGTTACTTCTTAATAGAGGGTTTTTGGGCAGTGCTGCCAGATAAAAAAAAACTCATTCAGCTCTAGGACAACACAAATAGCGCTAGATTTCATGAAAACAGCGCTTTAAAAAAGCCCTAGATTTCGCGCTAAATTAACTACAAACAAAGTTTGTGTTTTTTTATATAATCATAATAAAGAAAACAACATTAAGTTTTTTTTCTGGCAATATTTTTTTGATGTATCAATACTTCGCAGGACATTGACTTATAATTATGGCAATTGCTGTCAACAGTAGTTAGTACTGTACGAACAATAAAAATGTCATTAATTGTTTTAAAGTGCGATGTATTTCGCAACTTAGTTTCAGATGTCAGCTTCTGATTGCGGTTGCTACACAGTTTCTTTGTGTTATAACTTCTAAGTAACTTTTAACTTAGCTGTGCTCTAAGCAACTGACTGAAACTGAATAATGCAAAATAAATGCGTTGCCAAAACCATGAACGAAAACTTTAATAAAGGGGATTTCCCCGCTTATAGTCGTCGGTAAAAAAATCAAGTTGATCATCCTAAAGGGGAAGCCAGGAGATCCATAGCACAGGGTATCCTAGTTTGGACTCGTCTCCCATGCTCTTTGTTTTGTGGAAAAAATATGTTTGAAAAAGATAAACTGCAATGTACTTACTATTTGTGGGAAAAAATAATAAAGGTCATTATTATTATTATCGGTAATGTGGACTAACAGTGCTGCTATAAAAGAGTGAATAACCCGCTAGTCGCTAAAATATTGAAATGTGTGCTAAATACACCAAAAAGCGCTGGATTAAGCTAGGTGCTAAAATTTCGAAATGCGCGCTATACATTCCAAAAAAGCGCTAAATGTAGTTCCCAAAGCGCTAAAATGGCAGTACTGATTTTGCGTATATTATAAATACAATATCACGACATTTCGTTGCAAAATTTTCATTTTTGGTCGGGTTCCGTTGTATGGCTTCGATGGATACAAATTTCTTTAGTAAGTCTCAATACGATTCATCGGCGTAAAATCTCAACACAGCAATTCAGAAAAGTTTGTAATTTGTACAACTCCATCTATTACGTCCTTTGTGTGAGAAAACATCCTTTTTAAATCTTTTTTTGTGTTTTAAGTATAAATATATTAATTATTATGGAACGTCTTTTTTTACACACAAATCTTTTTATTACTATTTCTGAGATTTTATGGCGCCATTGAACAAATTCGAACCTACATTTCAAAATAATAATCATTACTTTCGATAGAATTAACCAATTTTAATAAAACAAAGATTAAATGTAACTCGAAGATACGCTTTATGATTTTCTTAACGATTTCTTTGAAAATAAAAGATGTTTACTTTAGACGTGATGCGTTCATATAATAACAGACAAATAGACAGACAGACAATTCTAAAAATTATAAAATGTTCTTATTTAATTATTTTCAGTTCCCCATAATGATTTTAGCCACCAAAATATATATACAATGTACAGAAAGAGACACAACATGTTATCATCATTTTTATTATATGTATATATTTAAAGAGAGATGGCGCTGCTAACATCAATTCTAAAAATAAAAGAGATTAATTGACGCGATTGATACATTATATAAAACGCAAGAGAACTTATAAATCAGTGCCTGCACAGTAAGCAAAAAATAAAGTTTGACTCTCGCCAAAACCAACGCAATTGTTAATAGCTCTTTTAAAATTTGATTTACCACATAGAGTCTTCGGCGGTAAAGAATAAATTGAGTTTGTCAACACGCAGTAGGGCAGCGAGTAATATAATAAAGATTAGCAGTAAATATGAAAACTCATCTACAGGAAAAGACCACATTGCAATTGCATTACATTTTTACAACACCACCATCTATCGAAGAAATGGGTTAACTATTGTGCTTCAGATTTAGTTAATAATGTTAATATATTTTTGTATAATATATTTAATACGTTCTTTAATACTTTTGTTTACTGCGTTTTAGATATACATAATTATATCATTATTTTACATAATTTAACTATGATTTATGTGCATTTTAAACTAATATCATAATATGATATTAGTTTAAAA